GATGTGATTCTGCAATCTGTATTTGGGGTAAAAATGGGAGTTCAAAACCCAATTGAGTCAAACGTATGAAAGATGATATATCATGAGCTCTGTAATGTTTTGAACAATCAATAAAAAAAAATGGGGAGATAGGCTTTGTCTTCCTAAACAGAGAGATGCCCCTCATTTTATTCCTAGCATGTTCCTAGAAACTATATTAATATGGTCAAAACATAGAATTGCATGGGATAGTGGAGCTTCTGTCCCCAGAAGTCAAAAACTGAGTAGAAGGAAGGTGAATGATAAAATCATGGCATTTGCTCTCCTCTTGATATAAGTTGTTGTGTGTGTAAACCATCACACCCTCTTGACACCTCTAAGCACTTTAGATTAAGGGATCCCTGAGGAGAAATGGTTAGAGGATTGGCAATTAAATGGAAGCTTTTAGAATCACAGGAAGCATGACCCCCAAACCACTGAGGTCCGAATCACAAAGCCCTCATGGTGGCCTCTGTCCCTGCGTCTTTGCCCTTCCCTACCCTCTGCGCTCACATTTGACCCACTTGCCGTGCCCAGACAGACTGTGTTGTTTCAAAGCACTGTGCCCAGTTATCATATACTTATCCTATAAGGTTCAGCTAGAGCCCCAACTCCCTTTCTTGGCTTTGTCAGGTGAAACTGAACACCTCCTACTACATATCCTCACAGGATCATGAACAACTTGTAGGATAGACTGGGAACAACTTGTAGGATAGACTAGGAACAACTGGAGATTGACCCCAAGGGTACTTAATCATGGTAGGATATAATCTTCATCACTTCTACTTATGTATGTCACTCCTCCCACCCTCTATTGTAAACCACTTAAGTAGAGATACACAACTTGGAACATAGTAAGTGATCAGTAATTGGGAGGGAGGGAGAGAAGGTGATTAAATTTGGTGCTGTTCAACTTAGAATGTTTGGGATGCATCTTTGATTTTAATGATATTTTGAATGTGTGTAGCATAAGTAAATGCGTAGAGAATATTCTTTTTCTTTATCCTGGCCTAGTATTTGGCATGTAACTTAATTTACAACAGAATTCCAATCCATTGATCCCGTGTACTTATGACATTCAAGAAGGTTGGGATAGTTTAGGAACCAATTCTTCCTCCTTTTAACACCAGTGGAAAAATGGAAGTGATTAATCCACAGTCATGTTGCCACTTGGGTCCCATAAATGAATGGCATCTGTTGACCTTCTTCTGATCCTCTGTTCATTAACTTTGTGGTACCTGTCTGAACACTATATGGATCCAATGTAGAAAGAGTATCAGAATGACTTCATAAATAAAACATATTACAAGAAAGTAACATTTGGGATTTATTTCTGTCAGTGACTCCTATAAGCTAAGGGTATTTATCAGTCTAAGTCGATCTGGTTTAGAAGTCATATCAGTTACTTAATAAAACATTTTGTGATTACTAAGCCCATGAGCTGCTAATAAACTGGTTTTGTATGTGTTTTTTCTTTTGAAACAACAGTATATATAATAGAGGTCCGATTCATTAATTAAATCTTTGTTTATGTATTTATTTCATTACATTTGATTTATTTTAATTGTCAATACTTGTTTTATTTATGATATATTTTAGCTTGAAGTTACAGGTGGATGTAAATATAGATTAGGTATTTTGCGAAAACAAAGAAATCATATCAGTTTAAAAAACTGATGTGGTAACTGAAAACCTATCAGTTGTTTTTTTTTTTTTTTTTTTTTGACTGCAACAGGGTAATAAGCCGATCTTTCTGTTCCCATTATTCAGGTTGCTCAGTCTGGTCCTAGTTAGGAAACCAGGAATACAATGACCTTCTAGAATAGTAAGAAAATGAATATAACAATTGGTATTCAACACAAAAGAGCAAAAAAAAAAAATTAGAAGTGGAGTAATTCAATATGCTACCATTTCCCTCTTGCTAACTGAATCAGAGGCTCTTTTGAAAATAGAATAGAGAAGTCATCAATTTAGTGAGTTTCTTCCATTACTGACTTCAACATATTAGTGTATTTGATTTTCCATTACGTGTGAATATGCTTTTGGCAAAAGAAGAACGTTAATTTGAAAATTAAATTTAGGAATAACAGATTGTAGCAACAAATAAGAAAACAAACCCCATTTTACACTTAATGTCTTGTAAAATTCCCTTTTCCTAATAAAGAGGCTTCTTGTTTTAACCATGTGCTATTTTCCAGAATCTGTTTTGTCAGACAAATGACTGCTTTGGTGGGTATTATTAGCATGCTTTCTCTTTTGTTTTACAGCTAATTTTAAATTGGAAGCTACTTTTATTCTCTTTGTGCTTATTGCATGGCAGGAGAATGAACTTCTTAATTTGTGTATTTAGGGGACTATCTGGCAAGTGTTGATTATTTCCAAGAAGGTAAACACACTTGATTGATGAAAGCATTAGAGCCTGCATGTGCCCTTGTGTCCCATGGGCCATGTCTTCCCATGTTACAGACCAAGATTTGAAGTCAGATGACATGGTACAGTCTCTTAGGGAGTAGAGGAAGGGGAAGTCATATTGGGGAATCTACTCTCCTGAAAGGTCTTGAGGAATTTTCTTTCCCCAACCACAATCCTACAATCATGACTATTCCATCACCATAGCCAAAAGGAGAGTTTCATCTCCCCACCCGCCCCCCTGCGTCCCCACAGAAAGCTTAGGTAGCTGACTGCTTTACCTGGAATGAATATAGATGTCCAGTGGGAGTCACAACCCCCTGAGACACACTATGCCAGCAGGCACTCCCGACTCCAATATCCATAGTCTTGCAACAGCCTGTGAGGTAACAGTTAGGTGTTAATCCCAGTTTGCAGAGTCACTCCATTTCTGTGAGTCACAGCATTTCTGTGACTTATCCAAGGGCTCACAATTAGTGAGCCACAAAACTAAAATTCTCACCCACTCCTGCCAGACGTCTAAACCCTCAGACTTCTGTGCATGTGTTTTCTGGCTCTGGGAACCCCAACTACGGGAGCTGCTCCTGTGATGCCCTCTATATGGCATGTGAAGGAAAACAGGGTTCAGAGTCCTAAGCACTCTGCACAGTCGGAAGCCTGGAACCTGTATGATGGAGGGAAATGGAGGCCTGTTGCCAAGGACTCTGGTCTTATTTTTGCTTTTTGCTCTCCCCCACAGTGTTCCCGAAACTGCAGTGGAGGCTTCAAGATCAGGGAGATTCAGTGCGTGGACAGCTGGGACCATCACCGGAGCCTGAGACCCTTTCACTGCCAGTTCCTGGCTGGCATTCCTCCCCCTCAGAGCATGAGCTGTAATCTGGAGCCCTGTGAGGAGTGGCATGTGGAACCCTGGAGTCAGGTATGACCCCCTACCCCCAGATAAGGACATACGTCATGCAAGCTGGCAGACCATGAATCTCTGCTACCATGTGAGTCTAGAGGAGGGGGAAGACCACACCTGCATCATGCCCATGACTGGCCTCCATTCAGGGACTCCACACTGTATGGGGGAAACCGAGCAGGTCAGACACTTTTAGGAGCTGAAAGAGTTCCTTTGGGGAGATGATACGGTGTGGTTCCAACCATGACAGTGCAGTATTTTATTACAACCTGATCTTTCAGTGGATGTATTGGGTAACTGGGTTCTCTTCTAGGAATTAACAAAATGGAACGATTTGAACAAAGACCACTTTGATGACAGCCATTTAGGACAGAGCCTCCCATACCTGTCTGAGTCTTTGCAGACAGGCTGGGAGTAATGATCAGATCTTTTCCACAGTATAATTTTAGTTTCATCTCTCAGTGAAATGCCCAGATCATTATTTGCACAAATAAAAAAAAGGATTAAGGGTACTTAATCATGGTAGGATATAATCTTCATCACTTCTACTTTTGTATGTCACTCCTCCCACCCTCTATTGTAAACCACTTAAGTAGAGATACACAACTTGGAACATAATATCCTTTTTCTAAATGAGGGCTCTTGCTCTGCTGTGTCTTGGTTTTACTTTGGCATGTGAGAACAAGGCTATTATTCTTTGGTGAAGTATGATGATCTCATTTTCCAATAGTTTAAAAATACACTCAATTACACCCACACATGATAAGAAAATAAGAAATTTTTTTTAAAAAGCAGAGCATATATTGAGTGTGTCCATGGGGTTTGTATATTACCTACATTATTTGGTTTAATTCTCATAATGACCTGGATGACCATTTAGAGATCAAAACATTAAGACTCAGAGAGGTTGAGGAACCTACCTGAGGTTATACAACTAGGAAATAAATGAAGTAGTAATTCAAATATCAGGGAGACTCCAATTTCTGTGCTGTGGGCACTGAGCAAAGAGTGAACTGAGGAGAATGGGACTCTATCTCTATTTCAGAGGAACCTACCACATGTCATGGAAAGGGGAGGTAGAGAAGCACAACCTGAGGATACAGAGTTAGTGTCAAAGGTTGTGGAAGGCTAAGTGCCCAGGAGCTACTTAGCACTTACTGGGCCACTCATACTGATTCTTGAGATCTGGGCCACTATCTGGTGTTTTCTGGGGCAGTAGTCACCATTGCTTCCTCTTTTCCCCCTTCCCTGCCAAAATCTGAAGTACCTGAGTGTCGGCTTTCCCCCTGCTCTGGACCCAGACCTCCAAACTCTCCATATATGCTGAGGCTGGCCTAGACCTGTTCAGTTGAAACCTCCGGATCCTGGAATTGCAGAGGAACTTAGATTCAGAGAAATGGCATTTTCAGGTTATCAAAGATGAGCAACCAGATCTTTCTGGTTATGGAAAAGATCTATTCTTTATTCTTCCTTGAAGCTTCTGGGAGCTCAACCATCAGTCTGTTCCCTGAAGGCTCCTACCATCCTCCTTTCTAAATTTCTCTGTTCTGAGCAAACCACAGGTTGGAAGAGCTATCCGAAGGAACAGAAGGATTGTGAAATTTAAAAGTCAGTTGAGAACCAGGAGTACTAGGACTCGGCATTTTTAGAAACTTTTCCTGGACCATCACAATTGCTGCTCTGCCTCACAGCACTGTCTAGTGGACAGTTCAGGACCCGTTTGGTAAAGGTCAGCTAGTGCAGACTACCTACATGGTAGATGTACTTTAGCTGTGGGAACATCTCTACATCAGTGTAGCCAAGTGTTGGCATGCTTCACCATCTCCAGGAAAGCTTTTCAGTGCACAGATGGAAGGGCGTCATCCCCAAGTGCACAATTTGGGAACCTCAGTGGAACCTGAGAGTTTGCATTTGTAACAGGTATCCAGAAGATGCTGAAATTGCTGGTCAGAGAACCACTGATCCACATTTTCTTTGCCCCATTTTTCTGGAGGTTACTTGGCTAGGTGTCTTTGAGATGATGTGCACATATGTAGGTACATGTGATCCCAGATGTGTGATTGTTCTCCTTTACTCCTCACATAGGGTTAAAAACTGATTGAAAATGAGAAAAATCCAGGTTGATTCTTGAAGTTGGAATTTTGTGAAAGCAATATATTGAGTACAGAAGGCTAATTGCAAATAATTTCCTTGTTGTCTGTGATTATCATACACATAGTGCCTGCTGTGATGGGCATGAGGTTGACAAGACAACCATAGTTTTGTTTTTGTTGGTTATTGTTACACCCATACCATAGCTAAGTGATTCAAAGTACTTTTCAAAGATTCTTAGCGAATTATTTAATTTCCTCTTAGAAATGTCATGAAAAATAAACAAAACGTCCTACCAAATTATTTTAGTGAACAAAACTCTGACATGTTTCAGAAGCACAATCCTTCAGAAATCCAACTGAGCATCTTGATTTTATTTTGTGAGCATTACAGCCCAGCCATCAGAATCCTGAACAAATTCATGAACTTCACTAGTCCTAATAGGGAGACATTTAATTCCAAGGCTGTATATAGTGCAAAAGGAAGACTGCATCAGTTTTGATAGGAAGTAGTAATTCAAATATCAGGGAGACTCCAATTCCTGTGCAGTGGGCACTGAGCAAAGAGTGAACTAAGGAATTGTATTATACACCTTTTGGGCTTTATATCCTCACCTTTTGGGCTGCCAGAGTTAACTATCATAAAAACATCTAAATTTCACATTTTGGTTTCTAGCCATTTAGGCCAGAAGGAAAAATGCAGATAGCATAGTGTCCATTCCGGAAAGATCTCTCATTTAAGTTTTTAACCAAAATTCTTCCCTTTTGGCATACTGCTTGACATTAGACTACTTGGCATCTTCTGATTTTTCTCTTCATCTTATCTTCAAGATTCCCTTCAGCCTCCCTCCTTCTCTTTAGTTTTGTCTCACATTGTTGCTTTAAGTAACTGGAGTGATCAGCTGGGTACGTTGGCACACACCTGTAATCCCAGCTGCTCCGGAGGCTGAGGCAGGAGGATCTTGAGTTCAAAGCCATCATCAGCAACTTAGCAAGGCCCTAAGAAACTTAGTGAGACCCTGTCTCTAAATAAAATATAAAAAGGGCTGGGGATATGGCTGAGTGGTTGAGTGCCATTGGATTCAATCCCCAGTACCAAAAATAATAATAATAATAATAAGTAACTGGAGTGATCATTGAAAGGAACTTGCAAGGATGCTCCAAGTTCCAATGCAGACACTAATTTTTCTAATAATATACAATGAAAAAAAGCAGTAAAAACTGTTCTTGTCATTGAAAGTGTCACCACCTGATTTTACTGACTCAGGCCTATGTTGTGTATCAGTGTTCCAGGTCCTGTGGAGGCGGAATTCAGGAGAGACGTGTGTTCTGTCCAGGAGGCCTCTGTGACTGGACAAAAAGGCCCCCATCAACTGTGCCCTGCAACAGGCACCCATGCTGTCACTGGACCACTGGGAACTGGGATCTGGTAAGAATCATTTATGGAATCTGTTTAACTTCACAAAAGAAAATAGTATTTGTTTTCTTTTGGTCATAAAAGTAATATATATTTATTTAAAATGGTGAGCATATTCATTGATGTATGGTGCATTTCTATGTATTTCAGTTTAGTACTCTTCTGCCATCTGATACTTCTAAGTCTGCTGAAAGTTGACTCACAGCTGCCCCAGGTCAATGTTTACTGTGTAGAGTTCAGAAGAGAAAAGATCAAATGCTTTCAAAAGAGAAAAAAAATCAAATACCAAAATTATTCCAGAAGCAAAAAGCCTAAGGAAAGGTTATTTTGGATTCTCTGTTTTTGTTTTTTTCTTCCCCCCAGAGCCAGGAGGATTTCCTGTGTCCTAAAGCTTCAAATGTAATCTAATTTGGTTAGTGTCAGGCTTCTTGTCTGCCCACAGAGCAGTTTTCCAGATGGCCAGCATATTTAATGGAGAGGTAAACCAAGTAATTAAACTGAAAATGATAAAAATATTTATTATTCTCCTAAATTTTATTTATTGCATAAATAACACCATATCAATGAAACTGAAAATAATGAAAATTCTTCCATAGGCGGATTTTGCTATCATTCTGATTTGTCTTACTTGGGTTCTCTAGGAAAAAGAGGCTTTATTTTTTCTGAATTAAATCCCATTGTTTGCATTTTTATTAAAAGAAAAAAAAAAGTGGGGACTAGGCTGGGGCTCAGTAGTAGAGTGCTCACCTGGCCACGTGAGCCACTGGGTTCCACTCTCAGCACCACATAAAAGTAAATGAACAAAATAAAGGTATTGTGTCCTTCTACAACATATGTGTGTGTGTGTGTGTGTGTATGTATGAAATATTTGTGTCAAAATACTTCTTACATTTTTGTTTATAATCAGATCTAATTTCTTATTGCTGAATAAGACAAGTTTTAAACTTTTAATAACTTAACTTTTTTTTAATAACTTAACTTTTTAATAACTTAACTTTTTTTTAAGTGTAATTTAACAATCCTAATTGGCTTCATTTTTAATTTTTAAAATCAGGTAACACTTCATTCCATAAAACAGAATCAGTTTTCCTATGAGCCAAGCACTCCTCAAAAATAATTTGATGAGTTAACATCAGATCATTTATTTTGCTTATACAAAATAAGGACAAGGGAACTTCACTATTTCGCCAGTTGAGAATGGCTGTTCTCCCCACAATATAGATTTCTCTGAGAGGACCAGATGTGTCAGCTTGGTTTGATTGACTCCATGTTGTTGTTTTTCCCCCTGGAATATTGTCTCTGTTGAAAAACTAGCTTCACAAAGAAGGTGGCAGCAGGAAAATTTCAGAATCCAAAGCTTAAAAATAAGTCTTGGACAGTGTGGTGTTATTTTCTGTCTCTGGGAGGGATCATCCGGTGTCTGAGGCCAGGGGACAGAGGCAAAGTCCCCAGCCGCCCATCCAGGAGATGTCACTCTCAGTAGCGTCTGGTGTCCTGAACTTTGCTCACCCAGGATGACGGTGGGTAAGGAGCAGAAGGTCACAGGGGCCCCCTGACCCTCTGGGAGACAGAGCTCTCCCTGGGCAGACCCTGAGACTGAGGGTCAATGGCCAGGGGAGAATCTCATCAACGACTCCCCGCCTGTGGTCCCTGAGGTCCTGGGGCAGGGATGTAGGAGGTAGCTAGCGTTTTCATAAGACGTCCCCATCCCCAGTCAGGCTGGGCACCTGGCTAAGTGAAAGACGGTGTCCCTCCTCAGGACCTGGCCCCTGAGCCCGGTCTCACTTCCTCCCAGGTACCGCCTGGAAGGGGAGGAAGTGATACCCAGGGGAAGGCCGGGAAATGAGGCCACCGTCACATTCAAGTTCAGGGTGTGACAGCTCAGTCTGTCCCCAACAGGCCCCATACTCAGCTCCCCTTCATGGGCCACGTCCCTTCTGAGAGTCACGCCCTGCCCTTTATAGGCACAAGGACCCAGAAGTTCCAGGGAACTTGTTTAGGCCCTCAGATCCGGAAGTGCCTCAAGCGTCCATGTTTAGGCCCCCAGATCCGGATCCAGAAGTTTCAAAGGTACACATCCATGTTTAGGCGCCCGTATCCGGAAGTTCCTCGGGCGCACATCCATGTTCAGGCCGTAG